AATAATAATGCTGTAATAATAATTATTATAATTTATATAATAATCCTGCTGTGCAGGAGAACACCAGAACTTAAAATTATAAAATGCTTCTTGAATTTGCATGTCATCTCTGCTCAGGGGCCATCCTAATCTTGTCTGTATCATTCCAATTTTATATACTTTGTGAATAATGTGTAATTGAGTACTCATTCTTTACAGCTATGTTTTACATTGAATTGTATTTTAGGTTTAGTTTGAAATTAAAATATTGTGAGTACATACATTTTTCTCTACTTCAACTATATTTATTTTTCATTACTTCTTAAAGTTCTTATTTTTAATACACATTTTTAATTATAATCTAAGTCAATATATTTTTGCTTTTATTTTTAGCGTTAATAAACATTTTCATGCTATCCCTTAAATTCATAATTATCATCGTCACTAATTATACATCGCAGTTTTGTTGGGGTATTTGGAATTTTTAATATTATAGACATATGTTACATATACTAACTTTTGGTTCTTATTTTGACATTCTTTTTCCAGAAATGGCCCATGCGCTCAAGACTGTACATTGGTGCTACTGGTCAGTTTCTGAAGCACTCTGTCTCTGGAGAAAAAGCGAATCACAACAGTGCTCCAACAGACTCACAGCTTTAGGTTCTCTCCTGGTAGGAGCTGTTAGGAGTGGTAGCTGTTGTCTTTAAGTACTATGAAATAATTCAATATTTAGTACATCAGGTATAGCAAACATCATTTCTGAAAGTTCACACTATGACATACAGTTAAATTACTCAGATTAATCTGTCTAAAATGTGAAATGAGGCTTGTATAAAACCACTGCTTATCTATTCATCAAGTCACTGCTAATATAGTACAAGAGAAACTCAGAAAAAAGACACAACAGCAAACAGTATATATATATATATATATATATATATATATATATATATCACACATCATCTCCAGAGAATGCACACATTTTTGTAGTATCTATTAGAGATTTAAAAGCCAATATTGATCAGTACAGTCTTTCTAATGTTTGTTTATAATATACAAGTATTCCATTTTTGTCAAAACCAGTTGTCTTTAGTTGGTCTAAGATGCCATTTCAGTTGGAAGATGCAAGATCATTTATTGTTTGGCTGCCTATGTATGTGTAAATACTGTTGCAGTAACTTCTATAACTAATTATTTTTCCCATTTAGAAAACTTGGCGTATAAGACATGACATGGTCAACTTTCTAGAAGTTCAGTCAATATTAAGAGGTGATGTATAAGCTTCCAGGCTGTGGGAGGTACTGGGAACACAAACAGCAGTATGAATAGTAGTAGCCCAAGAGTCGCTGGGCTGCAGGGTTTGTTAGCCTCTCTCCTGGTCACACTGTATCACCCCAACCTCCTTCAGGTTCTAAGCTGGTTAAGCAGATTCAGCTGTAGCCACCTTGGAAAGACTGGAATTTGCAAGGCTATGGGGGGTGGGGTCAGGGCTTGAGTAAATTCCCAGGATCTTCCTCAGCCAGTGATGGTGCCAGACTCCTTCCCATCTCAGCTGTTCACAGTCTACCTCTTTGGACATTATGAAATGGCAGAAATCTTAATTTGGGGAATTCTGGCATTGATCTACACCTTAGGGTGTCTAAGGACCCCTCAGTTTTCCTGAAACACATTCAGGGTTGAGCAGACCACCTGAATCTGCACCAATATGAATCTCCACCAGTGGGCCTCTTCTACCACACTGCACATCGAGTGTCCAGGGAGTAACAGGTCTGATTATACTACCGAGGACCCTGCCGAAAAATACTGTTACGTAGTAAAGCTTTGCCTTTGACAATACTTTTTAAAATTTCTTCTTGTCTGGTTGCAAATGTTTTAATGTTTTAATAAGCAGTTTTATTTCTGTCATAGATTTTTTAAAAACATTTTATTCAGTTGCTAAATATGCTAACAGCTTTAGTAAACTGAAAAATTTTGGAGAAATTACATATGGTCAGAGCCATGAATAGGTATGCTTATCAGGGAATACATGGAACCCCAAAACAATGTAGAGTCTCCTGGAAAAATATCAACATCAATGATCTCTTTGCGAATTTAGATTCATTTTTATCATTTTTTTGCTTTTCTTTTCAGTCTGTACTATACTTTCCAGTATAAAGTTAATTTATTTCTCAATAATAAAGCTTTGTTTCTGTTTGTTTAGTTTTGAGACTGGGTCTTGCTATGTAGTGCAGCCTGGGCTTGAACTCACTTTGTAGCCCAGGCCAACCTCCAACTCAAGGTGATCCTGCCGAGCACTGGGATTATAAACCTGTGCCACTAGACCCAGCTCAGTAATCCAGTTTTAAAGTTGTATTTTATTTCACCTCAGTTTTCTTCCAGCTTTTGCCAGTGAAATGGAGATCATTTGATAGCAAGAGCTATCATTCAGTTAATTCAGAGACCATGACTATGTTTTGGCTCATACCCAGTAATTTGTAAGTTTTATTATTTTAATGTAAATATCTTTAAACTGTGACCGATAAAAAGGTTTTCCAAGGCTGGGGAGATAGCTCTGCTGTCTGAGCACCTGCCTTTCAAATGCAAGGTCCCAAGTTTGATCCCTGTTTCAGGTGTTGGTGGCACAGGCTCTGGAGAGGCTGAGACAGGACAATTATTATGAGTCCAAGCTACATAGTGAGACCCGCACCAAAGAATAAAAATTTTTAAGGGAAGCTTTTCTATGTATTAATATGTAACACAAAATGTGTATAAAGTATTTGTGAATATATTCACTCATTCATTTAATATTAAAAGGAATAAAAAGTACAATAAGATTTAGATTCAGCCATTCACTGATACATTATTGGTGTAAGAGGTGCTAAAGAGTTTTCAAGGTTAAGGAATGAAATGAAAACTTTTTAGATTACTTCAAATAGGCCTGTCAACACTAAGTTTAAGGAATTTCAGGAAAAAAGATGATTTTCTTGTCAATAATTCCAATCTATTAGTTTGGCACCAGGTTTTATAGCATTTAACTGGGGAAGCAGGGGAAATGTGCTTTTGTTAAATTAATAGTCTTTCCTGAGTCATTGTGTTAGTAGAGCTTTGTTTGCCATTGATAATACTTTTTATTTCTACTTGTCTAAGTGCAAACATTTTAGTGTCAAAGAAGTATGTTTCTGTCATAGATTTTCGTAACATTTTATTAAATTGCTGAATATGCCAAAGTGGTTAGTAGTTTAAAAGACTGAAGAGAAATTTTAATTTTCACCAAAATGTTCAAAAGAGCATGCTGTTCTAATTAATGATGCATGATCAATAGAAAGGGTACTGTTAAAATAAAGAACTAATTTAAAAATTAATTTAGTCTTCTAAGTTTGCATTTGTCTCTGGATATTTAATCAACACCGACAGTATGTTTGAAAATGTATCTAGAGGATAAATACCTACATAGGTTAACTTCTTCAAATCCAATGCTTCCTAAAAGAGTATTTGTGAGGACTGGTGCGGGCTATGCTTGTATTTGGACACAGTATTACCGATGCTGTACAGGGGCAAATGTCAGTTAAACTTCTCTAAGTTCATCCCAATGATATGACACATTTAAAATTCTTTTATAATAAACTTGGGGGCTAAGAAAATACCTTTTTAGAGACGTAATTACTTTTAACACTTTTAAAGTTTTATGATTATGTAAATATATGTAGTACAGTTTATTGTATGTCAATTACATATCAATGTTTATTAAAATGCATATATACACTTGTTTTTAAAAATTAAGCTTCACAAAATAGTTCGGAATGGAGTAAAGGTGAGAATTATCAGTTTCATGTTTCAGTAGTTGGTTATGAAGAATGATTTTGCTTTTTTGTTTTTTTAAACTGAATCTCACTTTGTGGTTCAGGCTGACCTTAATCTCACTGTGTAGCCAAGGTTGGCCTCAAACTCACAGTGATCATTTTGCCTCAGCCTCCACAAGTACTGGGATTACAGAAGCATACCCCTACACTTGCCTGGTTTTGTATCTTTATAAGGCTTTCCTAAAATCAAATTTTGCCATTCTGTAGAGTTACAGACAAACTAAGTGATGACATTTTTTCTGTTCATAAAGTCTTTATTTAAACTTAGAAGAAATTGTACAAAAGGGAAAATATGCTGATTGACCCTAATGAAATATATAGTAACTATTTTTGTTGAAATTACTTCTTAGGTTTAGTTATTCACTAATTTATTTTTCTCTCAGAAGGCCTAATTTTATATTAATGAAAGCCATTAACCAATTATTTTCCAATGAAAAGAATATTCAGGTTCTAATAGGTTGGGTTTTTTAGAGGATAAAGAAAGGTAATTTTGTATATGTTATCCAGCACATTATTTAATCTTTTCTTTAGACCTCAGTGTATCATGGTGTGATTCTGAGGAAATAATTCTCTACAGACAGAAATCTCTCCAGTGTCCATGCCAAATCAACACATAAATTGTATTTGTCATAGTGATAAATTGCTTGTTGGCTCTATGTAAAATTGTATTTCTGTTCTTCTTAGTTGACAGAGAAAAGAAATTAAAAATTGAACAGACATTTTTCCAATCAGATTTTATTGGTACATTTTAGGTATATATAATGTCTACATTCATCACAGAGAATTTGTACCTACACATGATATAACTTGATTTGTTTGCCCCCTGCACCTGTCCAACCCCTTCTTCCCTCCTGATTTGTAAAAGCTTTATTTACATTTTTCCTTCTTTTCTTACTTTTTTTTTAAATTTTCCCCTCTTTCCTTTTCCCTCCCCTTTCCATTATTCCCCTCTGTATTTGAACATTTTCTTACTGTTTCGTTATACCTATTACACATTGTGGTCCTTATTTACACTTTCAGTTTCTCACACCAAAGAAGTAATGAAGTATTTACACATGTGTGTCCAATTTATTTTGCTGAGGAGTATGGTCCATCCATTTATCTAGAAAGGTCTTAAGCCCATGTTTATGGCAGAGTACTCCACTGTGGAAGAAAACAACATCTTCTTTATCTAGTCCCCAGTTGATGAACATTTAGGCTGTTTCCAAGATTTGGCTATTATAAACTGTGCTGCTATAAATGTAGGTGTACATATCATGCTGTAGTACAATGCTTTTAATTCTTTATAAAGATACTAAGAAGGGGAATAGCTGAGTTGAATGGAACATCTGATATTAGTTTTTTGAGGAATCTCCACACTGATTTCCACAGTGGTTATACCATTTTACACTACTACCAACAGTGGAGAAGTGTTCATTTTCACCACATCCCCATTAACATTTGTTATTGGTTAATTTTTTATTATTAATTATTGGTTAATTTTGATCAGGATTGCATTCAATCTTATAAATAATAACCATTATTTCTGGGATGAGATGGAATCTCAGCATTGCTTTAATTTGCATTTGACAAGTGACCAATGATGTTGACATTTTTCCATATATTTATTTGCCATGTCTATTTCTTCATTTGAGAAATGTATATTCATTTCAGATACCCATATGTGAATAAAGTCATTAAATTTGGGAGGCCTGATTTTTTTAATGCTTTATATATTCTAGATAGTAGTCCTTTCTCTGAGGAATAACTAGGAAAATTCTTTCCCACCCTGTGGATTTGTCTCTTCATTCTGTTCTTGTGTAATTGAGTTTTGCTTATAAAATCCTTCCTGATGCCAGTGTCTTCAAAGACTTTTACCTATTCTCTCTTCTAGCAGATTTATTTCTGCTTTAATATTCAGAGCTTTGATTCATTTTGATTTTAGTTTCGTTCACGGTGAAAAATATGGGTCTAATTTTAATCTTTGGCATCAGCAAAGTCTGTTTTTCCAACACCATTTGTAAGTCTATTTTCCTTCCAGTGAATGTGTTGGGCATTTCTCTCAAAAGCCACCTGGCAGACTGGGCATGGTGGCATGTGCCTGTAATCCCAACTCTTTGGAGGCTGTAAACAGGCAGATTACTACAAGTGTGATCTAGTAGTGAGACCCTGAATACCCTGTAGACCCTTCCCCCCCCCCAAAAAAAAGCCTTATGGCAAAGTATGTCTAGAGTTGCTTCTGAATCTTATAATCTGTTCCTTTGATCCTGGATCTGTTTTGTTTTGTTGCCAATACTATGCTGTTTTTATTATAGTAGCTTAGTGGTATAATTTCAAGTCTGGGATTGTGATGTCCCTGCCTTGCCTTTTTTGCCCAGAATTGCCTTTGCCATTCTAGGTCTCTTCTGGTTCCAAATGAATTTTAGGATTGTTTACCCTAATTCTGTGATGTATGCTTTTGTAATTTTGATCAGGATTGCATTCAATCTGTATAAAAATTTTGGAAGTATGGCCATTTTTACTACATGGACTCTTTTGATCCAAGAGTGAAAAATATCTTTCCATTTTCTGATATCCTATTCACTCTTCTTTTTTTTAGAATACTGTCATTTCCAACATAGAGGTCTTTTACTTCCTTTATTGATTTCTAGTGTGTTTTTTTTTTTTTTTTTTGCATGCCATTGTGAAAAGTGTAATTTCCCTAATTTCTCTCTCAGTGCATTTGTCAGTTTTACACAGTAAGGCTATTGATATTTGAGTGTTACTGTGTATCCAGTCATGCTACTAAATTTTCTTATTAAATCTAGAAGTCTTGGGCTGGGTAGGTAGCTCAGCAGTCTAAGCACCTGCCTGGCAAGTGCAAAGACCCAGGTACAAAACTTGGTACTGCATTCAGTATCAGCCCCAGAATCCTAGGTGTGCTGCGTCAACCCCAAAACCAGGCATAATGGCACATACCTGTAATCCCAGTGCTGGGGAAGCTGAGACAGGAGGATCACTACAAGTCTGAACTCTGTATTGAAAACAAAAATTATTAAATCACAAGTCTTTTTTGTAGCGTTTTGGGGATCTAACATGTCATCTGAAAAAAAGATAATTTAACATCTTCCTCTCATTCCTTTCTCTTGTCTAATTTCTCTGGCTAAAGTTTCTGGAACTATGTTGAGTAAGTGTGGTGACCGTGGACATCCTTGTCACTGATTTCAGAGTGAAAGCCTTCAATTTTTGTCTATTTAGTATGATGTGGGCTGTTGGTTTGCCATAGATGGCTTTTATAAGATTGAGGTAATGACAATTTATTCCAAGTCTCTGTAGGGTTTTGGTCATGAATGTGTGCTAGACTTCTTCAGACTTTTTCTACATCTATTGAGATGATCATATGATTTCTGTCTTGGGCTCTGTTAATAT